CGGATGACTTTCAAGCCAATGCCGTTTTTAGGGGCGGAATACGCTCCGAACCCCTAAACCCCTGTTGTGTCTCTGAAGAATCTGCCTTCTTGAATGATGAGTGTGAGTCTCTGGGAAGCTTAGGGGTTGACGTAGGGGCTCAGTGGCGGGCCGAAGTTGCACCAAGATGGGTTTAGGGTTTAGGGTGAGCGCAGACAGCAGCTTCACCACCCCACTCCCCCCCTCCTCCCCACCCGAAGCCCGACACTACTGGGTAGCCCAGTGATACCCTTTTGTTTAGGGTTTAGGGTTTTTTTGGGTTTGGGGTTCAGGGTTTGGGGTTCAGGGTTTAGGGTTTAGGGTCATATAGGGGGCCTACATGATGAGCATAGGGATTGTTCAGGGTTTAGAGGGTAACAAAAAAGGGTTTAGGGTGGATTTCTGGGTTCCCTGACAAAGTTGCCAACCCCCAAAAGGGTACCCTTGTTATAATGTGGTTGCTGGGAGGGCCAAGTCTCTTCTCTGCAGGTATCGACTACTTCAACCCCACTTTCGTGGCGCCACAGTTGACGCCAAAGCAGCGCCCGGGTCGAATTCTGGACTCAGGTTGCACAACTTACTGGTTCTTATTAGGGGATGAGCGAATGAGGTACCCTGCATTTTTAACGAAGTCACTCTCAGCCCTGCATAATCCCTCAAAGCGTATATATGAGAAAGCCTGAGAAGGACTGAGCAATTATTCAATTGCATGAAGCCCCCGACCCCTGGCGTTTCCTCACATCTCGATCCGCTTCCTTTTGCACTTAGGGGGTTTAGGGTTTAGGGTTTAGGGTTTCGGGTTTAGGGTTTAGGGTTTAGGGTTTGGGATTCCCAGCCCTTCGGGTGCTTGGGGCTTCGACGTCCCAGACGTTTGAAAGGTCTACTTGGAGGTTTATGGGTAGTTGTTAGAAGTATCCCTAAAAAGCGTTAGACGCGTAGTTAACACAAAGAACTAAGACCCAGAGTAGGCCCTATTCCTTTTTTTTTTTTTTTGGGGGGGGGGGGTTTAGGTTCCCTTATCAGCCCCTTTAAGCCGCCCCTTGCTTATTCCCAGGTTACTCGTGGCCGAGCTCATGCAATCCTACTCGTAGCTACCCAAATGAACTTCCAAGTCTTGAGATTTGTGCTTTTGTGGCTGAGCATGAACTGAAGCTCGTGGGTTTAGGGCCAACTGCCCGCTCCCAGTTCCTTTCGTTGCGCGCGCTAAAAGCGAGCCGATGCAGGGTTTTAGGGCTCAGGGCTTTGGGGCTTAGGGCTTAGGGTTTAGGGTTTAGGGTTTAGGGAATCCAGGCTTCGTTTCAGGAAAAGGACACCTCCATCGCGTAACGCCCAGTCCATGATTCGGGGGTGCTCGTCGGGCTCCAGGTTCCTGATCATCTCCAGCCCGGCTGAGAAGAAGATCGCACCTTGCCGGGGCGGAGTTCCATTTCTTGGGTTAAGTTAGGGGCGTAAAGGGTTTAGGGGTTTAGGGGTTTAGGGTTTAGGGTTTTAGGGGCTTTTTGGGGTGGGTGAGGCTGGGTGGTGTGAGGCATAGAATCCCTACGTTTAGCTACCCATGAGCCCTCCCGAAGCGGGGTTCAGAGGTTGAGGATGAAAGAAGGCAGAAGGCGAAGAGGGGGTTGATCCAAATTTTTCAGGAGCTAAAGGGGGGTTTAGGGTTCAGGGTTTGGGGAAAGAGGGTTTAGGGTTTAGGGTTTAAAATTCAGGGAGTAGCCCGAACTGGTACCCTCAACCGTAACTTAGATTAGTAAATCAGTTCTGATGATAGAACGCCCCCACAATGGAGGGACCCTACTGTGCAGAACATCCGATGCAGGGGCGACTTGCGGTTGGCAAGGTCGTTGTGGAATGCTCTTTTCAAGATACAGGGCTCGGTGGAGCAAGAACTGGGGGAAGCGCAACGTCTCGTTCCTCATTGCCCCTATGTAAACTCATACTGCAGACGCCTCCATATGTAACCCAAGTACCAACAGCAGCAAAACTTCCCCAAATACGCGTCTTTAAGCCACAAATGAGGTCCATAACCTCCTTCCCCCCGCCCCCCCCCCCCCCCCCCCACCCCCCCCCACCCCCCCGCCCCAAAACAAAAAGGGGAAGACGGAAGATAGCCCCGAACATCAAACCCTCATATATCTCGCCGCTGACAGATTACGTAAGTAAACCCCAAGCCCCTGGTGTGAGGACGCTTGGCAAAGTGGTGCCAAACCCTGAAGCTCCAAACCCCGAAAACCCCTAAATCCGAAGCCAGAACCCTGAAACCCTGAGACGAGACCCTAGACCACCCTTTTTGGGTGCAAGCACGCCAAGGTCTACACCGAGCTCAAGTCACCAAGCTGCTATCTTCACGTTAGGGGTGTAGGGTTTGGGGGGGGTGGGGTGTAAAGGGTCTTGGGCTCCCACTACACCCTCCTCCCCTAACCCTAAACCCTAAACCCCCTACTTGACGGTTCTTTGTTGGCCTGTAGACCCCCCCCTAGCCGTAACCCTTTTGGGTTTCGGGTTGGGATGTTCCCCCTTCTACTAACAGTCCTTAATCGGGGTTCTAGTACCCCCTTACTACAATCCCTATTAAGGACTGCAAGTATAAGGTGGAACATCCCAAGTTTCGGATCTTTTGTTTGTTTTTTTTTTGAATTTTTGGGGTGAGTCTTGGGTTAGCAGTGAAGGTGAGCCAGTGAGCCCCAAAGCCCTCAACCCCAATAATTTGGGGTCTAGGATTTAGGTTTAGGGTTAAGGTTTCAGGGTTTAGGGTTCAGGGTTTAGGGTTAAGGTTTCAGGGTTTAGGGTTTAGGGTTCAGGGTTTAGGGTTTAGGGTTTAGGGTAATTTAAAAAAAAACAGCGATGTCAAGGTCCAGGCTGGGTGGCGTTGATGAACTTCATACTCAGGGCCCTGCCCCGTTTACTTGCTAACAGTTGTTAATAGGGATTCTAGTTCCCCCCTAGTAGAATCCCTACTAAGGGGTGTTAGTATGATGGGGAACATCCAACCTCAAACCCTCAAGTCAAAACAACCCAAATATGGCCTCAAGTCCCAAACTCTACAGCCCCAACCCTCAAACCTCCAAGAACTCTTGGACAAAGTCCCAGCTTCAACTGCACCTCGGCCCCAAACCTCAAGCCCTGAGCAGCGGTAGGCTTGAACATCGTGTTTAGTTTTTATTTCCCTTAAATCCCCTTTTTTTTATCCTTATAAAGCCATAAAAAATGAGTTGTAGGGACCCCAAACCTCCTAAACCCTAAACCCTAAACCCTGGACCCTAAACCCTAAACCCTAAACCCTAAACCCCCAGTCAGGAACTTCAAGAGCACCACGGGGCGCACCTTCGCCTTGGTGGACTCGGGCCTCACTGCGCCCAGGGACCTGGCCATGGATGGGCGGCGCGGGGCGCGCCTTGGCCATGGCTAGGGTTTGGGGTTTAGGGTTTAGGGTTTAGGGTTTAGGGTTTTGGGGTTTGGGGTTTAGGGTTTAGGGTTTGGGGGTTTGGGGTTTAGGGGTTTGGGGTTTAGGGTTTGGGGGTTTGGGGTTTAGGGTTTAGGGGTTTGGGGTTTAGGGTGTAGTGGGTTTAGGGTTTAGGGGTTTGGGGTTTAGGGTTTAGGGGTTTGGGGTTTAGGGTTTAGGCGTTTGGGGTTTGGGGGGTAGGGTTTGGGGCCCCCCGGCTCCGGTTAAGGGTTTAGGTTTTCGGGTTTAGGCCAGGACATCGTAGCCCGGATGCAAAAGGGGGCTTAGGACCCTGAACCTAAGGGCAGGGTCCAAACCTAGTTCCTTCTTGGGGCAGTGCACAGGCAGCTCCACAAGTTCGGGCCCCTTTTGCGAGACGCGGCCTTGTGGGGTTTAGGGTTTAGGGTTTAGGGTTTAGGGTGTAGGGTGTAGGGTGCCGAACACGTGGCGATACTTGAGGGGGCTGCTCGGAGTTATGCTGCGTTCTAGGCGGGGAGCCATAAGAAAAGCAAGGCAGAAACTTTCAAGCCTTGGGAACTGGGGTCCCGCATGCTAGTCCTGCTATCCCGAAACACTGAAAACCGAGCGTTCTGAGGCCTTTACAAGGGGGTTATAAGTGCCCGAGAAAGGGCTTACAAGTAGAGTAATCATGTTTCCAACGCAAGTAGGGTGCCCGCGCCCAACATAGTTTCAGTCTTTGGATAGTCAGAATGCTAAACGCCTCTTTTCCCCTAAAGCCTGAAGGCCTGAGACAAAAAGCTGCGAGGCTGTATGTTGCAGACAGCGGCGCAAAGAAGATCTACAGATACCACGTGCAGCTGGGCTGCTGTGAGATCCCTTCCCCCCTTCGGAAACCTGAAAGTGAGAGGGTTTAGGGTTTAGGGTTTAGGGTCAAAATCCTAAAACCTTCCACGCCGAAGCCATAACCTGGATCCGATTTGAAGGGAATGTTATGCTTATTGCTTGTGGCTGGAAGGGGAGTATATTATATCGCTATAGGGCACTGCAGAATTTTGGCTGGCGGGAGGTATGTGCAGGACAATGGCGTGTCGCTGGGCCTAATCACGGATGGCGTGCAGCTTTGCATCATGCAGGTGGGAGCCTGTAGTAGCGTAGCATATATATATATATAATTATAATTCTACATATGTCTACACACATACATGGATGCATGCATGTATGTATGCATCTGTGTGCTTGTCTTTGCAACGTGCCAATCGGGACCAGAGCCTGCACAACTGCCAGCCCTTGCATGCCCCTGTGACCAGAACGCCGACGCTTCCTGGGTCAATGTGGACCTCAACGGCGACGTTTTCTACTCCGATGCGACCTCCAAGACCATCAACAGGCCAGGCCATTTGGGGTCCAAGACTCTCTGCTGGAAGCTTGGCTTATCCAGGCCAGGCTCAGTGCATGTTGGCTTCTGTGGAAGAGATGATCCCTTAACCCGCAACCCGAAGCCATTTTGGCTGAAGCAAGCCACGCGCAGCGAGCTAACTCGATTTGATTCGCCCGTGTATTCCCTTTGCTCAACTTCACAGCCATGATGCGAGCATTTCGCAAGTTCCCGGTGGCCAAGGCGGCCAGGGTGCTCCCGCGGCAGCTGCCGCCTCAACATGCCCGCGCCTTCTCCGCCCATCCAGAGGCGTTCAAGGCGGCCTACGAGGCCCACGTGGCCGAGCGCGCCGCCGAAGGCGGCCTGCCACCGCTGGCCTTGGATGCCAGCCAGGCTGAGTCGGTGGTCGAGATGCTGAAGAAGGCTCCTGGCGATGGCTCCTTCTACGTTGACCTCCTCCGAAATCGGGTGAACCCGGGAGTCGATGACTCCAGCTACGTGAAGGCCAACTTCCTCCGTGACATCATCCACGGTGCCTTGGTAGCCCAGTGGTACTCTTTGCCTTTTTTTTGGGTTCTTTGGTTCCCTTCCAAAGTATAGCCGGCCCCAAAAAAGTGCTCTCTTACTGAAATAGGGTTAAACTGGGCTACCAAGGTACCGTCTCGACGCCCCTGGTCTCGAAGGCGGATGCGGTGGAGATGCTCGGTTGGATGCAGGGAGGCTACAACGTCGCCCCGCTCGTCGAGGCCCTCGACCTCGACCAGGAGCTTGCTACCGGGGCAGTCTCGGGCCTCAGCCGCATGATCCTGATGTTCGATGCGTACCATGACGTGGAGGACAAGATGAAGAAGGGGAACCCCTTTGCCAAGCAGGTCATCGAGTCCTGGGCCAACGCGGAGTGGTTCACCAGTCGACCCACGGTTCCGGAGAAGGTGACCCTGTGCGTTTTCAAAGTCACGGGCGAGACCAACACCGATGACCTGTCGCCGGCCCCCGATGCCTGGTCGCGCCCAGACATCCCCCTGCATGCCTTGGCGATGCTGAAGTTTCCGCGCGACGGCATCACCAATGCTGCGCAGCAGATCGCAGACCTGAAGAAGAAGGGCCACCAGCTCGCCTACGTCGGCGATGTGGTGGGCACTGGATCCTCGCGCAAGTCCGCCACGAACTCCATCCTCTGGTACATGGGCCAGGACATCCCCTGCGCTCCGAACAAGCGCACCGGTGGCTTCGTGATCGGTGGCGTGATCGCGCCCATCTTCTTCAATACCATGGAGGACTCCGGTGCTTTGCCGCTGGAAATGGACGTGAAGGATATGAACATGGGTGACCTCATCGACCTGTGCGTCTACGAGCAGGTGATTAAGAAGCACGGAAGCGACGAGGTCATCACCAAGTTCGACCTGAAGCACGGGCTGATGTTGGACCAGGTCCCAGAGACTCCAATACCCCTCACTAAAGCCCTAAACCCTAAACCCTAAACCCTAAACCCTAAACCCTAAACCCTAAACCCTAAGCCCTAAACCCTAAACCCTAAACCCTAAACCCTAAAGGAGTATCCCTTAAACCCATACAAAAGAACCCCTCTTAAATTTCAAGGACTCTTCCTTATAAGAGTATTATAGAGTCCCTGAGGTGCAGGCGGGCGGGCGCATCCCGCTCATCATCGGCCGCGGCCTCACCAACAAAGCCCGCGAGAGCCTCAACATGGGCTGCTGGGTCATGGAGTTGAAATTCATTTTTAGGGTTTAGGGTTTAGGGTTTAGGGTTTAGGGTTTAGGGTTGTACATGGTTTTTTGAAGACTTAAGAAGACAAACCCAATAAGGAACAAGAAGGACCATTTTTTTGCTTAAACCCAACAAGGAACAACAATGACCATTTTTTTACTTAAACAACGAGGAACAAGAAGGGCCATTTTTCATAAAGCCAATAAGGAACCAAAAAAGGGCAATTTTTTTAACTAGCCCCCCCCCCCCCCCCCAAGAATGGTGCAGAGGCTTGTCGACCACCTTCAAGCAGATGGCCCAGCCAGATGTGAACGTGAAGGGCTTCACCCTGGCCCAGAGCCTTGGCCCTCGAAATGAGCCCTAAAGTGGTTTAGGGTTTAGGGTTTTAGGGTTTTGGGGTTCAGGGTTTTTGGGGCACCATGAGTACTACTCTAGCTCTAGCCCCCTGTTTTAGGGTATATATTCACCCTAAGCCCCTTTTGTAAATTGTTCATCTTCCGTCCCCCAAAGGAAGATGGTCGGAAAGGCTTGCGGAGTGGACGGCGTGGTGCCGGGCGCCTACTGTGACTTGGTGGCCCAGTGCCGTGCCCTCTGGCCCTTCTTTTGGTTCAAGGGTTCCCTTTTTTCAAAGTTACCCTAAACCCTAAACCCTAAACCCTAAACCCTAAACCCGAAACCCGAAACCCGAAACCCGAAACCCTAAACCCCAACCCGAAACCCTAAACCCTAAACCCTAAAGCTTGGCTTCTAATCCCCAAGCCCTTATCGCAATATGTGTGCTGGGCTACCAAGGCGAGCCCCGCATGGGGACGGTCGGCTCCCAGGACACCACCGGGCCCATGACGCGCGACGAGCTCAAGGACCTGGCCTGCCTCGGCTTCTTGGGTACCCTTTTTAGGGTTTAGGGGTTTAGGGGTTTAGGGTTTAGGGTTTGGGGTCTGGGGTTTAGGGTTTAGGGTTTAGGGTTTAGGGTTTAGGGTAGAGTGGTATCCCCTTTTGTACACCCAACCCACAAGGGCACCCTTGGTTGCGATGTCCCAACCTCAAAACCAAGGGTACCCGTAATGTACCCTTATTATATAAACCCGAAACCCTAAACCCTAAACCCTTCTAATATAATTATGTGGTTTCTGGGACTAAAAAAGGCTTCCAGGCCGACCTTGTCATGCAGTCCTTCTGCCACACGGCGGCCTACCCGAAGCCTGTGGACGTGATCACGCACCGCACCCTGCCCAAGTTTATCGCCGACCGCGGTGGCGTGGCCCTGCGCCCGGGCGATGGCATCATCCACTCCTGGCTCAACCGCATGCTGCTTCCGGACGAGGTCGGAACCGGCGGAGACTCACACACCCGCCTCTATATCCCCCTTGGAAATTATTTTTGTGTTTTTGTTTACATAAAACCCAAGAGGATATTTAAAAATATTTTTTTATGAAGGTTCTAAGGGGAGTAGAGGCTTCCCTCTGGGCATCTCTTTCCCGGCCGGCTCCGGGCTCGTGGCCTTCGGTGCGGCCACGGGCGTGATGCCTCTGAACATGCCCGAGTCGGTTCCTTTGTCATAGTGGGGTAGCATTTTAAATTTCTAAGGGTACTTAAAACTCAACAAGGAATATTTAGATTTTTAAAACCATCCCAACCATGAACTATAGGTTCTGGTGCGCTTCAGCGGCAAGATGCAGCCGGGGGTGACCTTGCGCGACTTGGTCCATGCCATCCCGTACTATGCCATCAAGCAGGGTTTGCTGACCGTGGAGAAGAAGGGCAAGACGCTTGGTTGCTGCATTAAGGCTGTTAAGGGACTTGGGAATACTCAGATTAGAAGACATCATACGTCTTGTACACGGGAACCTCGGTCACCGGAATAGCTACTTTACTAGATCTCCTTATCATGAGATATGGTATCCTTCATATAAGATCCTTAGCCGTGCCTCAGGAAGAATATCTTCAATGGTCGCATCTTGGAGATTGAGGGCCTCCCGGACCTCAAGTGCGAGCAGGCCTTCGAGCTGTCGGACGCCTCGGCCGAGCGTTCCGCAGCCGGTTGCACGATCAAGCTGAACGAGGACCCCCTGGTTCTTAGTAGGGAATGACGGAATTAGGGCCCTATGTATACCCTTTAAGGGATGATATAGGCTTCCTCATTCCCTCATTCCCGAGGACTCCGTCAAGGAGTACCTGACCTCCAACATCACGCTCCTGAAGTGGATGATCTCCGAGGGATACAGCGATGCCCGCACGCTCGCCCGCCGTGTCACTTGCCCAGTGGTACCCCTTTCCCTTTTTTTCCCTAAACCCTAAACCCTAAACCCACAACCCTCAACCCTGCAAAGGTCAGCAAGATGGAGAAGTGGCTGGAGAGCCCCGCATTGCTGGAGGCGGACAAGGAGGCCGAGTACGCGGCGGTGATCGACATCAACCTGGACGAGCTCAAGGAGCCGGTGCTCTGCTGCCCCAACGACCCCGATGCTTTGTCGTAGTTGGGTACCATTTTACAATTTTAAGGTACTTATAAACCCAATAAGGAATAGAAATGTAGTTTTGCATTTTTAAGGGTACTTATAAAACCCAATAAGGAATAGAAACGTAGTTTTTTGCTACTATCCCAGCCATGAGCCAGGATGATGCCAAGACCCTCACGGAGATTGGCACCGCCGGGATCGACGAGGTGTTCATCGGCTCATGCATGACGAACATCGGCCACTATCGCGCGGCCGGGAAGATGCTGAGCCCCTTGGGGACCAAGTGAACCCTAGAAGGGTTTATGGCTCCTACTACTACCTGAATGGGAGTTATAGAGTTGTAGGGTACATGACCCCAAATTTTAGGAATTCATTTCGTCCTTAAGATCCTTAAGGCAGTAGTGTAGGGTATATGATCCCAGTTTTAGGGTTCATTTCGTCCCTAAAATCCTAAACCCTAAACCCTAAACGCTAAAGGCTAAACCCCATAAACCCTAAACCCTAAACCCTAAACCCTAAACCCTAAACCCTAAACCCTAAACCCTAAACCCTAAACCCTAAACCAAGGCCAGTTCGATGGACAGCTCTCCACCCGCTTGTGGATTGCCCCGCCGACCAAGATGGACGAGGAGCAGCTGACCAAGGAGGGATGCTCGGTAGGCCCCTGAGGGGCCTTTTTTTATACTTCCCTTGATTGGTTGAGGGATTTAGGGTTTGGTTTCCCTGAACCCTAACCCTAAACCCTAAACCCTAAACCCCAAACCCTAAACGATCAGGACTATTGAACAGTTTGTGCCTCGCCTGGCTTGTCCGAGCGTGAGCGATTAAACCCTAAACCCTATGAACCATGTCCTCATCTTTAGGTTGTAGGGTTTAGGGTTTGGTTTCCCTAAACCCTAAACCCTAAACGATCAGGACTCAGGAGGGGTTTGTGTCAGGGCCAAGCTAAGGATACTACTCCGTCTACGGCAAGGTCGGTGCCCGCACGGAGATGCCAGGATGCTCCCTGTGCCTTAGGGATACTTGGAAACATGTTTTTTTTTATGTTTGGGTTTAGGGTTTAGGGTTTAGGGTTAGGGTTTAGGGTTTAGGATTTAGGGGTACTTTACTTCCTAAGAAACAGCTAACATTGTTTTTTGCTAGGGGTTCCCAAGCTCAGCATAGGTGCATGGGCAACCAGGCCCGCGTGGCCGACAACGCCACGGTGGTGTCGACCTCGACTCGCAACTAGACGCACTAGAGGTTTAGGGTTTAGGGTTCAGGGTTTAGGGTTTAGGTTTTAGGGTTAGGGTTTAGGGTTTAGGGTTTAGCCTGGGAATACTTACATATGTCTCTAGATACATGCAGAAGCATACATGTATACAACAAATTTTTCTAAAAAGAAGGAGTTCAACAATGGGTCTAAGAGCCCTAAACCCTAAGCCCTAAGCCCTAAACCCTAAACCCTAACCCTAAACCCGAAACCCGAAACCCTAAACCCTAAACCCTAAACCCTAAACCCTAAACCCTAAACCCTAAACCCTAAACCCTACCGAGGTAACTTCCCGAACCGCTTGGGCAAGGGCGCCAACGTGTACCTGGCCTCCGCGGAGCTCAGCGCAGTGGCCGCCATCCTCGGGCGGCTGCCGACCAAGGAACTTGCTGTTGGGGTTTAGGGTTTAGGGTTTAGGGTTTAGGGTTTAGGGTTTAGGGTTTAGGGTTTAGGGTTTAGGGTTTAGGGTTTAGGGTTTAGGGTTCAGGGTTCAGGGTTCAGGGTTCAGGGTTCAGGCTTTAGGGCCTTAAAGGGTATACATAGGGCCCTAATTGCCACATTCCTTGCTAGCCAACAGCAAGAGGAGGAATACCTGAAGTACCACGCCGAGTTGGCCAAGGATGAGGGCTCCATCTACAAGCACCTGGCTCTCCATTTACTTTTACTATGTTGGGGAGTTAGAACCCTATACTACCCTAAACCCTAAACCCTAAACCCGAAACCCTAAACCCTAAACCCTAAAACCTAAACCCTATTCTGGGGAGTCACGAGGTACTTGAACTTCGACCAGGTTGCGGACTACGTCGCGAAGGCTGACAAGGTGAAGATGGCGGAGTACTCCTAGAAACCGGGAGTTGTATTGTCTTAGTAGCCCAGTGGTACCCTTTACCCCCTTTTTTTGGTTTAGGGTTTAGGGTTTAGGGTTTAGGGTTTAGGGTTTAGGGTTTAGGGTTTAGGGTTTAGGGTTTAGGGTTCCCTCATAATCATAAAACAGCAAACGCCAAAAAGGGTGCCCGTATTATAAGATGGTTACCTGGGCTGCCAAGTTGTATCCAGCCAGTCTCAAGTGTTCAAGGTATGGGCCCGTAGGTTTATGCATATATACATAATATATATATATATACATATTATATATATATATATATATTGATTTATATTTATTTATTTTTATATTATATGACCATATATACATATCTGCTCATTCAGGGGCCCATTACCTTTTATCCTTGGACTTTTAGACACTCACTCCGACCGACTGCCTTGCTGATATCCGTGCGCCCGGACGCCGGCGTCTGCTCTTTTCCTGCCTGCCGGGCCATTGGGGCAGCATGCGGTCGGTCCTTCGCTTTCAAACAGACAAAATGCACGGGCTTGACGTGCAAAAAGATGCAAGCAGTCTTGAGGTTGGGATGGTCCCCCTTATATACCAACAGTCCTCAATAGGGATTATAGTACCCCCGATTATAATCCCTATTAAGCTTGGGATGGTCCCCCCTTATCCAACAGTCCTTAATAGGGATATATAGGGGTTATAGTACCCCCCCCCCCCCCATATTTTAATCCCTGTTAAGGACAGTTAGTAGGGATTAATTATAGTACCCCCCTTTGATAATCCCTATTAAGGGCAGTTAGTAGAGGGGGGAACATCCCAATCTTGATGTCTGGAGCTCGATTCTGGGATCGTGGATGGTAGTGGTTTTGTCTAAGGTCCGAAGTGGGGTGTAGGGTTTAGGGGTTTAGGGGTTTAGGGGTTGAGGGGTTTAGGGGTTTGGGGGTTTAGGGGTTTAGGGGTTGAGGGGTTGAGGGGTTTAGGGGTCTAGGGGTTTAGGGTTTAGGATGTTGAAGGTGCTTGTCCATGACTACGATTACTTGTGCTGCGGGGCACCTTGAACTTACATGGTGTCCTTAGGATGAGCTGAGACCTACTCCTTCCTGAGTCTGCAGTACTGAGTATGGGGATTGAGTATGGGAGGGGGGGAGAGTTCTTTGGGGTAGCTTTAGGGCAGTTTGGGGGGCAGCTTCAGCAGAAAGAGACCTCGCGGCCAAGTTCTCCAATCAGAGCTTACAGCTTGCGCTCCCCGCGCCTGATGCCAGGATACCCGTGGACACCATCGACATGCTTGCCAAAGGCCAGTACGCAGCGAGCGGCCTGGCTAAAGACCTCTGCCCTGAACCCAAGCTTCCGATACCCCTTCATGAAAGGAACCGACCCTATATTATCATCAGGACCCCTAGATCATGTAGCGGATATTTTACGCTTAACTGGGGGGGTATTCGGCTCCTGGCTACAAGTCTCCTCCAAAAATCAGGGCCCGCATTGGGGGCCATTAGGGTTTAGCGTTTAGCATTTTGGGGTGTTTTAGTGCCAGCGCCCCTTCCTTGATGGGTTTAATTGTTGCTATAGAACGTTGCAGGACTGTGAGCAAGCAGCAGGAAGAAAAAGGCACTCACAAACTCTTCCCAAGATTCTTGGGCAAAGTACAGAGAGCAAACGGGTTGGGGGGTCTGGAGGTGTGTTGGGAAGGGTGGGGGTGGGGGGTTGATCTGCATCATGGTCCTTTCTGAAATTCTTGGTGCGCGGTGCTCTGTGTTCTAAGGACTAGACCGCCACAACACTATAGCTGCCTTCGGAAATTTCTACCCTCATTTCTACAGAACCCAAAAGAACATATACAAAACCCAAGGAAATATTAAAGACACTGTTTTTTTGTAAGGTCCTAAGGCAAGGGGCGTGTAGAGGACCGGTTAGAGGAAGGGCGTGCTTCCATACTTCCACGAGTTCCGGCGCTCGCAGGGGAAACAGGCTCTGAGGGCCCCATCTGAGGGCCCCATTGCCCTTATCCCTGAACCCTAAGCGCCCTTAAGAAAAGCCCTAAGAACCTTAAACACCCTAAGACCCCCTTAAAACCCTTAAAAATTAAAACAAAAAGAAACCTAAAAGCCCTAGACCTACAGCATGCCTGTCAGCTTGATATCAGTCCTTATGCCGACCCAGATGAGGCCCTAAAATCCCCAGAATCAACCCTATCAAGGGCCTTGTAAGGGGTTATAGGGTATAATAGCCCGTCCTGGACCCCCCGTATTCTGCCTCTAAACCCTAAACCCTAAACCCTAAACCCTAAACCCTAAACCCTAAAAAACCCTAAACCCTAAACCCCCCACATATGCCCAGCCCCCAAGTGAGGTGATCTGGTCCTCCTCTCCGAGAAGTCCTTGGAGTCAGGCGCCATCCCCTGCAGTGCTCGCCCGCTTTCTGGGCACCAAAGGGAATAGAGTCTAGAGTGTAAGGAGTTAGCCTAAACCCTAAACCCTAAACCCTAAACCCTAAACCCTAAACCCTAAACCCTAAACCCTAAACCCTAAACCCTAAACCCTAAACCCTAAACCCATGGCCGCCCCCTAAAGCCGTTGACGCCAGAAGGCCGCACGAGGAGGTCGATCTAGCTTTTCTCGGAGCCCTTTTGTCTACTAGGGTTTAGGGTTTTGGGTTTTGGGTTTAGGGTTAGGATTTAGGATTTTGGTCTCTTTTCTAGTTCAAGAACCAAAAAGGCCTTTTCTACTTAAGAATCAAGACTCACAGCCTTCTTTCTTCGGGTCTACTCAACATTAATTCGACCCTAAACGAAGTATGCAGGCGGAGGGGCAGCACCCGAGTCCGGATCCCACTTCGTTGCGGCCTTGGTTCGGGCTTTTTCTAAGGGTAGTTTCATGGTCCCTTAATATGGGCCCTAAAAAGGATTACTTCAGATTAAGGCGCAAGGGACCATATTTAGGGCCCATGAAACTACCCTCTTGGGGCTTCATGGGTTTGGGGTTTAGTGGGTTCACGGGCTTGAGGTTTACAGAAAAAGGGCCTCAGACCTACCTCAAAAGTGCTCCTGGGTTTAGGTGGTACCCAGACAGCCTAGTTGGCACTTCATGACAGAATAGTTCGGCGGCATCACAGAGTCAAAAGAGGCCAACAACCCCTTATTAATGAATAAACCCTAAACTATACAGGGATCCTTTGTATGATTTAAGGTATATTCCTGGATTAAGGGTGTATGGGGCTCTTTGGGAGTCTGTACCATAAACCCTAAACCTAAACCCTGAACCCCTCGCCTGCTGTGGTTTTTGTTGGAATAACATCTCAAGTATGTGTAGTCGACAAGTTCTGGTTTTCACAGGACGACGTTGCACACGGGCGTGCTGGTGAGCCATGCCTTAATTAAGAATTACTGTAAGCCTGAAACCCTCAACCTACTCCCGAAACCCGAAGCCCTAGGGAAAACACCCTAAACCCTAAACCCATTTTCTTGCCAAACCCTCTTGTCTAGAACAGCAAGCCCTGAGCCCGAGGTCTACTCCGTCTATCAGGGTGCGGGTCTCGTGCCGTTTTTTTTTTTTTTTTTTGTGGGGGGGGGGGGGGGGGGGGGGCTTCAGAAACTCGAGCCGAGGTTTGGGGTTTAGGGTTTAGGGTTTTGTGTGCCGCTGTCTTCGTCCTGGTTGAGCCTCTGCAGACCAGATGCAAGAAGCGTTTTAGGCCTTACGCACAGTTGGTACTACGCCCTAAGCCCAACACCCTAAGTACTTAATGATTCTATTTCTTAAGCTTGGTTTAAGTGGATCGGGCTTAGGAAGATTTATCAAAAGAAGGGCACAGAAGCGCTTCAGCCTGGTGTGAGGGCTTAGGTGGGTCCATTGGACTTCTTGCAAGTGCCTACATCCACAGGTTTAGGGTTTAGTGTTTAGGGTTCAGGGTTGAGCAAAAAGGGTTTTGGGCCCAAAGGTTTGTCAGCTCATCGGTCTTTTGCTTGCGAACCCCAAATGAACCTCCCTAAACCCTAAACCCTGCACCCTAAACCTGAAACCCTAAACCCTAAACCCTCCCCCAAGTAGGGCAGGCGTTGAGGGTTCGCGGTTTAGGAAAGCTGAAGAATTGGGATCTTTGCTTCCGGCAGAACAGGGCTGACACCAAGTTCAGTAGAAGCTGAAGAATTGAAGTTCGGGTTTAGGGTTTAGGGTTTAGGGTGCTCCAAGAGTAGGCTTAGACTTAGACCTGCGAAGGCAGCGTGAACCCGCACGTGTCCACGCCGGGCGGGCTCGTGTCTGACGGGGCCAGGCGCGATGTCACAGTTGCGATGGCGGGATGATGCCCCAAGCCGTATGTCGGTAAACCCAGAATCCTGTCCCTGGCGGAGCTTGTAGAATAGTTCTGAACAGGTACAGTAGGTGGATGCTTATGCCTCGACACGTAGGCGTTTCAGCGTCAGAACCGCGCTGCGCATACCGGTGTTGTATGACTTCGGCAATGCAGGATCTACTGGACCAACCTGGTTGACGGACGGACAGCTGGCAGTATCGTCGAAGGGGAGGCAAGGGCACGTAGCCTAAACCCTGAAACCCTCCCCGGGCACGGGATCTGGAACTCAGTGTCTTAGCCTTTGATCCGAAATGAAGCTGCGTAGGCTCTGGGCACATTTTATACTTTCCATGATTGGGTTTATGAGGATTGTGTTCAGGAATATGTTTCAGAGCACTAGTCCTATTTCTCTTACTCTTACTATCTCCTTACCGGTACGAGTAGGTCAGAAAGTGCTATCAGAATGATGATTGTTCGGACCTTAGACCCTAAGCACCAGTCAGCCCTCTACTTCATCCCCAAAACCCTAAGCCCTAAACCTTAAACCCTAAACCCTAAACCCTTATCCTAAACCAAAACCTCAACCCGAAAACGTGCGCCAGGCCCTGCAGTTCGACTCAGTCAGCTAGGCCGGTAGGCAATCACAAGTAGGGTTTACAAGTACCCTAAATAGGATGACAAGTACAGTTTTACCCTAAACCCTAAACCCTCAACCCTCAACC